GCGAAGGATCCAGTTCATAAAATTGACACCTTTGGAAGCTGGTAGACGACCAGAACGTGCGTGTGAGATCTCGAGCCAGCAGGTAAAGTTGTCTTGCTGCATCATTCCTTGATAGAGGAATCGGGACTACACGGGTTTCTTCATGGGCTGAGCGGGCTGCATCATCGGCTAGTTCATTTCCGGTAATACCGATATGTCCAGGCAGCCATTGATATATAATATCATGCCCTCGTGCTAGAGCTTCATGATGGCAATGTCTTATTTCTTGTACCAGTTGGTCATGGCTCCTCCTACGCATGGCAGACTGCAAACTCTGAAGCGCTGCCTTCGAATCACAGAATATGACCCATTTTCCTGGACGTTCTTGAACGAGATATTGTAAAGCAGCCCTTATAGCAGCAAGCTCTGATGCCGTAGATGTAGTCATATGTGACAACTTAAATTTGATTGTCATTTCTGCAGCCGGAATTACAGTGGCACTTGATGAGCTGCTGGATGAGACGGACCCATCAGTGTATATCTGCGTTCGGTCTAAGTACAACTCATGTAATAATAGCAGTGTTGCTTGCTTCAATGCTACTCTGGAGTGACTGCTTTTCTTTTTGATTCCCGGAATTTCTAGACGTACTTGCGGCTGGTCGAGGCACCACAAAGGGCATGCCGTTCTCGCAGCTGGCGTATATCCTGATGGAATGCTGTTTAGGTGCTTGGCTATGACGTCTGAAAACGTAGCACGTGGTCTTCCGGAAGGTAGAAGGGCCAAGTGGTGGTCGGGGACACGGCTAGCATGTCGAATGTGCGCTCTGATGCAATCCACAGCTATATATGTCCTGACCGGATGGTCTTTGGCAAGCATGATTGTGGCATAAGTAGAAGCGCATCGGGGCAGTCCTAGGCAGATACGCAGTGCCTGACCATGCAAACTCTCCAATGAATGAGTATTCGATTTGCAAGTGTTAGTCAGTACCGGCAAGCTGTAGCGCAATAGACCCAGAAATAGGGCCCTGTACAGCTGTAGCATGGAGGCCACAGAAGTTCCCCATGCTTTGCCGCACAAGAATTTCATGATATGCACAATAGATAGCAGTCTCTTCTTCAAGTACGCACAATGTGGGCTCCACGAAAGACTTCTGTCGATTATTATGCCCAGGAAACGATGCGTCCGTGCATATTTGACACTCTGCCCATTGATGTAAACAGGGTATGGTGTCATTGGTTTGCGTGTAAACGCCATCAACGCGCACTTCACAGTTGATATATTTAGGCCTTGTTTCTGAAGGTAGGCTGTTGTGAGTGTTGCTCCCCGCTGTATTCGTGCACGCACCTGAGGGCGAGTAACTGCAGCACTCCAGAGGCAAATATCATCGGCGTATATGGATAGGCACACCGACTTTGGCAGAACCTTCACCAGACCAATGAGGGCCACATTGAACAATGTTGGGCTCAAAACACCTCCCTGAGGTACTCCGCAGTAGGTGTAATGTTGGGCAGTTGTACCCTCATACGTTTGTACAAAGAAACCTCTGCCAGTTATATAATCTTTTATCCATTGAAACATTCGTCCATCAACGCCCATCGCTGCGAGAGAAGTGAGGATGGCATCGTGAGCTACATTATCATATGCACCCTTCACGTCAAGAAAGAGTGCCACTGATATGCGCTTGCGACTTTTTTCTTGTTGAACAAATGTCGACAAATCAAGGACACAGTCAATGGAGGAGCGGCCCCGACGAAAGCCTGCCATGCAAGAAGGGTATTTGGTGTATCGTTCCAAGTACCACTCGAGACGAAATAGAACCATCCTTTCCATCACTTTTCCGAGGCAGCTTGCGAGGGCAATAGGGCGATACGCTGTCAAGTCCAATGGTGATTTTCCCGATTTCAAAAGTGGTATTAATCGACTAATTTTCCATTCTCGGGGAACACTGCCGCTGAGCCAGGAGTTCTTGAAGCATGTTAAAAGTTCTTTTCTAGCTTTTTGTCCAAGGTGTCCCAACGCACTATAAGTAATACCATCAGGACCTGGCGATGACATGCGCTTAGAAGCGACTAACGCACCTTCCAGTTCTTCCATGGTGAACGGAATGTCCATTTCTGGTAATCGCGTCTCAGGAACGATCACGGCGTCGATGCTCTCGTTCACAATATTCCCGGCAACTCTCGTGCAAAATTCTTCAGCCACCTCGAGTTCTGTTTTTCCCTGATGGAGTGCCAAAGCTTTAAAAGGGTGCCGTTGTTGTGGAGAGGAGCGAAGACCACGAACTGTTCTCCAGATATATGACAGCGGTTTATGAGGGTCTAGAGATTCGCAGAATGCTTTCCAGCGTTCGCTCTCCAGTTTGTAAATGCGTCGTTGAATCTTTTTCTGGAGCCGCCTTGCTTCCCTCAGATCGTAAATTGATCTTGTGCGTCTGTATCGTCGTTCTACACGCCTTCGTATAGCTCGTAATTTTTCCAGTTCGATGTCAAACTGTGTAACTTTAGACGAAAATGGTAATTTACATTTGGACGCTTGCATAGCTTCCACTATGGTATTTTCCAGGCTGCTGGCGAGGCCTTCTTGGCAAGCGTTCTCAACACGCGATGCAAACATCGACCAGTCAGTGCCAATTGCAACATCGAAAGAGAAATTTTTTACGATACCATCGATCGTCACGTAGGTGGGTATGTGATCACTCCCATGAGTCTCAATATCACAAAACCACTTAACTTTGTGAGAGAAGCACCGTGACACCAATGTCAGGTCAAGGCAACTGCCATACGTGAGACCCCGCAGATATGTGGGGGGTACCATCGTTCATGATGGAAAGGTCGTAATCGGAAGCGAATGTAACAATGTTCCGGCCCCTGGCATTCATCCTAGTGCTCCCCCAAAGCATGTGATGGGCGTTGAAGTCACCGGTTATGATCCAAGGCCCATCGGTTCTCATTAGGATGTCTTTTAATCTGTCGCAGTCAAATCGCGATGACGGAGATATATATCCACCAATAAGCGTGAACGAAACTGCATTCTTCTTCACACGAAGACACACGTACTGATTGTCGTCATTTGAACTTATTGGGTGCGAAAGATAAGTCAAGTCTGTGCGAATGTAAACAATTACTTTGCTACGCTCTTCGCAAGCGGCTGAACAAAAAGCTTCATAACCGGACAATCTATAAGGCGTTGACACGTTTGGTTCACATATGACAAGTATAGGGAATTGATTGGCCCGAACAAATTGGCGCAAGTCCGAGATACGGGACTTCATGCCTCTGGCATTCCACTGAAAAATCGACGCACTTTTAACTTCAGTGCGGAAGTGGAGATTTTGTTGAGCCATTGTGCTTATACGAAGTTAGCAAGAACTGGATTCAGTGCATCCAGTATTTGCAGTGCACTCTTAGCAGACGGAGATTGTATGCTGCTCAGTAGCGTGCGAATCGTGGCAATTAATGATTGCCACGATTGCAGCCACTTGCCTGTCTTGGTTGGAAAGATCTCGAACCGGGACGATTGCAGTCACTTGCCTGTCTTGGTTGGAAAGATCTCGAACCGGGAGCGTGGACTGGCCGTCATGAAGCTCCTTCGGTTCGCTTGATGCTGCTTCCCTTGGAAGTGCAGGCCACTCTGTCGCAGTCAGGGTATGCTCACTGGCTTTGTCCTTTACAGCCTTTCCCGCGGCATGTGGTCTGGGAGGCAAAGGAGGTGGTACTGATGAGGGATCACGCAATCGTGTCGAGGAGGTAGCGGGCGTCCTCGAAGACCGACGTCGACGTGAACGACGCCTTCTGACTTTAGCTGCGGCTTCTCGGTGAGATGAGTGATCGCGCACCATCTCCTTCAAGATGGCAATTTCCTTCTGAATCCGCGGGCAGTCCTTCGATGTGGCTTCATGGGATCCATTGCAATTAGAGCATTTCTTGACAGTTGCGACGCACTTATCCGCTTCATTGTGCTTCATGGTACATTTGAGTATTTCATTATAAATGCTGCCGGCTGGTTGAATTGTGCTCCGGGGTTTTTTAGCTAGTGTTATTTTACTATCTAGCTTACATCCTTCGTTGTAGACCTTGTGTACAGCGTCTTGTGGGTAATTTCTGTCAACTAATGTTTCTATTAGGTTACTGAAGTGGTGGACCTATTCACCATCGTCGCTACAGATCCTTATTATACACCTGCAGGCGTATATTTGCTCGTGTTGCTATGATTAATTTTTCTGTGCCGAGAGGCCTCATTTGCGGGAAATGAAACTCATTGGTTTTCAATTAGAGGAGACACGGGGTTGAGTCAAATGGAAATTGGAAGTGTTCTCACAAAGAGCCGAGTTTCGTTTTGAGGTTTCTTAGTAGCAACCACTGGTAATTTTGGCAGAGTGATGAAATCTGACCAATTTTGTCCGTGAAACCGAATTACGGAAAAGTAAAGTTGCAACATTCTTCGGAGAGTGTTGGAAATCAGCGAACTTTGTTATATCAATCATCGATAGATTTCGATTCGTGGGTGTAGGTGCTGCACTTCTGATTATATCACACATGGCACACATGCATTAACGAATGTGGGAGAACTAACACCAATGAAATTTTTATGAACTGTGGTGGTATTCTGGTCATTTGTTAAATGCGCACATGGTCGCTTCGCTTTCCGTTTCGCTAGTGAGTTTGGTAGAATTTCATTCCACTGCAGCAATTACCAGAGGCTGCTTTTTCAAACTCTTGATGTGGCAGTATATGCTTTTCCCAGAAAGAACTTCCCATTTGAAGAGACCGCCTTTCTTCATTGATGAACAAGTTAAATAACTTCATTGCTTTACCTACTGCGGTAAATGATGTTGGTAGTTATGTTTAGAATTATACTGCTATAGAAAATGTAATCATGAAGTTTCCTTTTCCTCCAAGGTATTTCGAACCCATTTCTTTAAACATTGTGTATGCACTGGTACTAAGGGGCACGACAGAGGTAGAAACTTCATTCAGGCTCTCTCGCGAACTGTACGAGCCAGTGAAACGTCTTAGCTTACGGGAAACCTGTCCCCCGACGACTTGTTGCACTGCATCGAGAGTGGCATCGTCTCATAGAGTCGGTCCAGCAGAAGCACGTTGTGGCGAGTCCATGGGATTGACTTGTAGTTGTCGCTGATGCCCTTCTCGTCACTCGTGGGTGCATCATGGTAGCTGCACAGAGTAGTGTCGAACAAGTTTGTAAGTAATAGAACGATCAAGAGAACATTCGCAGCTTTTGAGCACGTGGATGACACTGATGGCACAGTCCCACAGAGCTATTTTAAATTATATGGCCACTGCCGATGTGGTGTTGCCGTTGGCGTTGCCATCATGTTCTGTATTAATTTCACACCGATAACATCCCATCGCACATGGCATGTTCTTTCTGCGGGGAAGAGCGTGTGAGCGAGGACGACGAATGCGGCTAAAGCAGAGATAAAAAGAGTCGGGCCATCTTCATCGATCGGAGGGCGCATGCGATAACATACCTCGCGTGCGAAGTCTGCCGTCGAATGCAGCTCAAGCATGGAGGAAACAGCCCGCCCGTCTTGAAGGCGCATGAAAAGACGCGTGGGTGTGTCGTTCGAGCAGCAATTGCGGACGTCGACTATATACGTGTGCGCATGTGATTGCTGGCGTTCACGCCAATTCGGCCGGCATCAGTGGATGGTTCTTATACCCTTCTACATGCTGCGCTGTCAATGTGAAGGCACCGCGTGAAATCCGCTTCTCTTCCTGGAGCGATGGCGTTTTGTAGAGTTACACGAGACTATATCTAAAAGCGTTAGCTGCTAGCCCTATACTTGGTATAGCATTGCACTTTGCTGCTATCGCATTCATTGCTTCGCCCTTGCGGAGAAATAGTGATTTTTTTTGCTCATAACTTTTGACAGAATGGTGGTAAGACGAAAGACACGCAGTAAGTAATTATTGGAAAGCTAGCTGGTTTATACGGGTAGTTTAAGGCGAAAGTTTTAGATGCCTCATCAAGGACGAAAACTGACCGTTGGCGTCGGAGACGAGGGACGCAAAACATCACGTGATTACGCCGCCATACCAGGTCACCAACATGTCTACTACTAGAAAAAATTGTGACGTCATGACGGCACTGAGACGTCAGGCGATGTAACGTCACATTATGATGTCATCACACGGCATCGTAGCTCAGTCAAAGAGGTGCCGATCACGGTGGCATTGCAAAACCAGGTGCGGTACTTTTGATCTCGGAGAGAGTGCGAAAACACGTTCAGCGCAGAAAGCTTTCAGAGGGTGGCAGGGCAGGATCAATGCAGCGACAGCAAAGATAAAAAAAAGAGGGCCTTCCAGTCTTCTTAAAGGCCAACTCCAGTGATTTCTCGACCATGTCGAGGTACTGCTGTTTTCATGTTCCCTAGACACTTTTGTCAGAAGCCCAATAGCTGATATGCTCAGGAAATTTGAAAATAATTTTTAATAAATAGAAAGGTGCAAAACTGAAACCGAGACTCGACCGGGCGCCCTGCCTGCGTGTGACGTACTATTTTGTAAGAACCGGAGGCCGTATACTGGTTCCACCAGCGCGTAGTATGAAAACTGTGAAAGCCAGAGCAGCGAAGCGCCGGCCAAATACCACAGAGGAATGAGGAAAGCTTTCCCGTGCTTTACCCGTGTCCAATGCTGCCGCCGTCACCTTGTGGCCAGCACAATATACGCTGTAGCGGCCAAAGTAGCAATGCCATCGGCTGCGTCACTTCCGTTGACATGCCAATCATGACGTCACAAAGACAGTGTTGCCAATAATTCTGGTGAGATGAGCTTTTCAAGGCAATCTTAAAAATTCATTTGCTAACAGTCAGTGCATCTCTCAAGCTTGTAGTTTGGGATGAATGACCTGAATGTGCAAAGAAACGTACCCAGTGAATTTCATTGAGATCCATTGACTTCGAAAAACCGCCGGAGTCAGCCTTTAAGCGAATTTGTATGGGACTACGCAAGTTTTGAATTCCCTGGGCAAGCGAAAGGGGCTGAAACAAACAAAAAAAAGCAGTCTGCGCTCTTTCCTGTCATATCTACTTTTTTCGTCTCGAAACGTAAGGATGGTTCACCTGCGCCGTGGATTTAAAACCGACAGACACACGTGCTGTCGTATACAAGTGAAATAACCTTATTAATTTTAATAACGAGAAGGTAATAAGACCTTAGCGAAACTACAGAGAAAATAGCATTAGATGAAATGAAAAAAAAAACGTGTAGTGGGAGAACCCGGAATGATTTTAGCCACCAGGGTTCTTTCCACGTGCACCTAAACCAAATGAATGGTCGTTATCAAAATTCACTCACATCGAAGCGTGACTGTGGCGGTCAGAATCAAACCCGTGCAGTGGTGCTTAGCGGAGCAACGTACGTAGTGACGACTTAGTCGCAATGTTCATTTCGGCAGGTTATCTGTATACCGTATGACGCGTTGGTTATCTGTCTTCTGTTGATGGAATGAAGATGTCGCTACTCAAATATTCTCGAACGGCTTAACCTGTCACTAACTAATTGTTGTCATACGCACCTAATGAGTGACCAGTGATTACGATGAAAGTGAGATGAGCGAATTTTCACGTGGTGCTGCACTTGAGCAGGCTCAAAGAAAGAACGACGCTTTGCAGAGCACGCATTCGTGTTTTGTGGCATCACAAAAACATGAAAAAATGTACAAAGATGTTAAGAATTGCACTATTATAAGTGTATCAAACATACAAGACCGTTATGTTTCCCGCTATGCAGTTTGCCCGACTAACGGTGGCTAGTCCCTTTCTTCAGAGTGTTCAAGAGAAATCTACTTGAGCTATGAAATAGAAAATGTAGGTTCAGCTACAGTGGTTCAGCTCCTTCGACATGCGTATAATAGACAACACCCACAATTTTTAACTAGGAACTCGTCTTCATTTGAAGCAGGACAGGTGCTGGCATTAGTAGGGCAACTGTGCAGCGCAGGGAAGCGCACTTGCAGATTATGAAAATACTCTATACTCGTAAAAAGAATGTAGGTCCTACGTACATTTTCATATACTTGAAGTATGCCTGGAGGAAGCTGGTCTCTATGGAGCTTTTACAGACTTCCAAGTCCGTCTTGGGAAAGTAATGAATGTACGACACACACATTTCCTCACGAATGCCGAAGCCGCCCTGCAAGATAAGCGCTGATCAGTTGTGATTATCAAGCATAGATGGATCAAAATGGCACGAAGGAACTATTTCGACGGCGTAAAAGGTTGCCTGCACTGCGTCTGAGCCTGCAAAACTCCACCTGAGCTTGTAACACATTCTTTTAGGTGTTCAACTGTAGCTGCTCACAAATTCACAAGGTAAAAAAAAAACAGTGATTATCTCACCATACTAACAAACATTACCAATTATAAACAGAGATAACATACTTCACGTGGTGCTCTGCCGTTCACCGAATTTATACGTTCATATTACTTCATGCGTCTAATAATATATACCAGTCCGAAGGTTTCCGTCGAATCAAAGTAAAGACCCTACCAGTTTGAGGAGAGGGAAAAATGTGACGGAAGTGCGCAATTTAAACTACACACAACTCCAATTAACCCACAATTAGAACATGTCGTGAAGTGTGAAACAATTCACGTAAAACTTACCAGTGTAACATTTGTTCTTTCAAGCGTGTTGTAGGTGCAGTTGATCACCAAAGCGTCACCCTGCGTAGCGATTGTCAAAAGACAAAATATTATGATGTCGTTAAACGCAGTATCTTATTCAAACAGCCCATTAGTTGGAGTAAATGGTACCTTAAAAATTACTCGTTATCTGTGCTTATGCGCACCATGAAGATATGCTGATTGTTTGACGTTTGACAGATTTAAAAACTGATTTTTTTACCACCAATTGCTACAGAATACATTTTTTCTCCAGTGAGACACTTCATGTAGTTTTTATAAACTGCGTATCCTAACCACTTTTTGAAGTAAAAACTTGAGGTCGAGAGCTCTACACAGTGGGGTGGTTTTACACTGCAGAATGAGAACCAGATATTTGCACCTGAAATGTCGCAAGTTGCATTTGTACACCGCGCGGTGCCATCGAGGAGCATTATCCCTTTTCTCTCATTCAGCCCCATCCCAACATATAGAGAAGAATGTACCAGTCTGAGGATTCTTACTAATGTAAAGGGGGTATTCTTATTCACTACACTAAGTAGAGATGTGCCTTGAACCCTCCCCACCTTGAATATGAGATAACCGAAATACATACTGTGTATGCAACCTATTCGGTTGCTTACAGAGTAACACTAACTCTTGCTCCACAAAAATAGTCAATCTTCCACTCACGGCAACATTGAACCATTAGTGGTTTTTTAAGTAACGATGATGTAGTAAAGGAGAATATGGTGCAAGGATTGTAGTTTCAGGCCCTTGTGCTTCGGCTTCATTTCCAGCTTTAGGGCGTTGTCCGCCATTTTTTTAGGGGTCATGGAAGATGAGTGGCAAAGCGCACCTGCTGAACATTGACCACCACCCCATGAATACCTTTCGAGCAATTGCTTTAAAACAACCAGTAAACAACCAGCGCGCAATTAGTGCTTATTGGATTAGAGGTGTCATTGCACATTATTTGATATCAGGCGTTACTGCTGATACGATAATGACAATAAATAAATAAGTAAATACAGACCCCACTTCAAAAGTGTTCGCAACATTTTTCTCGAACCTGGCCTTTATATTTACCTGTAGTTCAGCATGTATATAGCGGGTGATACATACATACGAATCGGCGATTTTAGAGGCCCTCATGTAAATACCGGCATGAGCTGTAGCCTCCTCTTGAGAAGCCTTATCTCCTGGAAGTGGGTGCTGAAGTGGTCGTCGCGAGCCATCTCGGGCAGCTCGGCGCCTCCGCGAACATGGCGGACCCTTATCCGTTCTCCGGTTAGGTGGGTGTGCAGCTGAGCGGCGACCAGGGTGATTCCAGCGGTGGGCAAAGCCTGTGGGACATTGATCAGGATGCAGGCGATGTTACTGGTGGGCACAGACAGAACCGGTACCGTGCAGAGGGCTTCAGGAACGACGTGCTGACATTCGATATTCACAACATGCATGCAGGCTTGCACGCGATATTCTGTTAAATGAACATCTAACTAACGCAAAACCAGTCCAGAGGTGTTATTCTGGATACTATCGAATTCCGCCATGTTGACATATTCTGTCATCGATCAATGCTGATTGGCCCAGTGGACTGCTACAACCTCTCTGGTTACCCTAAAATGCCGCCATTACGAACTTTGACAATATGGTGGAATGAGAAAGTGTCCAGAATAGCACCCGGACTGACAGAGCGTTAATTGAAGAATCAGGTTTTATTGTGGTGACAAGTTCATAAGTGGAGGGGAAGATATAAGTTTCACTTTTAGAATTTGGGGACTTAACATATGCACTGGAAAATTTAAAAGTATCTTTTCATGAAGGAAATACGTGCAAATTTTAAGGGCTTCTTTTTCTTTGTTAAACACAATAATAATGAGAAATGCCAGACAACAGTGCCATGGAAAGTATGAGGGATGTTATTGGTAGTAAATGTAATGTAATTGTGAAGAAAGAAAGTGGACGAAAAGATAGCTTGCCGTCGGCAAAGACCGAACTCGTGACCTTTGAAAATTGGACGCGGACGCGTTATTTGGAGGTCGCAGGTCGCAGGTCGCAGGTTCAGTTTCTGCACACGGCAAGTTATCTTTTTGTCCGCATTTATTTCTTCACAAATACACTGCATTTACTGCTACTAACATGCCCCGTACTCTCCTTGGCAGTGTTCTTTGTTAGTTCTCATTAATAAAGTATTTTTTGTATTTGGGTTGTCGTTGTTAGTAAATGTTCTTAAATTTTTTGTTTAGTCTCCCATTTTTTTTAAAAGGGCTTGCAAGTCCGCCTTCCCTGGTACAGACTTAACAAAGCTTGTGTACAAGCCAAAAGAATCCATAAACGTCAGGCGGACACAGCTACTCGTCTTTCATTTTTGCTTGGTGTCTTACTCACTATGCCTCATTTTTCGGTATTGTATAGATATACTGTCTGCGCCAACTGTTTGTTTGAAAGGTTTACGCTTGGTAAATAAAATGGTTGGGTAATTTATTTACATTGGGTATTGATAATAAAACATTTCGTGGATGCCTTCTATGCATCACTGATAAAGTTGGGTCTCCTGGGATACTGTCATATCCCAAGAAGCATGAAAAATTTCTTCCAAGAAATATGAAAAAAACATGAAAACTTGCTCACAAAAACATGAAAAGCGAGAGGAAGATCAGTTGCGTAAAGCGTTGTACACCTCCACAGAATGCTTTAATGGTGGAACTAATTCATTGATAGCCCAACAGTCCCGCCCAGCGCTCGTGTTGTCCTCTTCGCCTTCCGTGCCTCGACTTTCGTCTGTGTCTTCTAGCACATTCGTGCTCGCGCTGCAGCCCTTATTACTATGAGTCCCGCCCAGCTAACAAATAAACAAGCGCGAATCAGCACTGTGTTATATTCCAAGTAGCAGGCTTAGACTGAAAAATTTCAAGTAACGCTGCAAAAAATTAGAGCCTACTGCAGCCAAAGCAGATTTCGTCATTATATATAAACATGAAATTTCGGTACGACGATGGTCCAACTTGTTCTTTGCACTTAGTTCCTCTGCTGTGGCTACCACGGCACAGATTTTTGTCTACTATACAACTATATAACTTGTGTTCATGTTGTACCACATTGGTGATTAAAAACTACATATATTATAAATACAGTTTTCCCTTCAGATGTTATCGGGGTGTTCATACGTGCCGAACGGCATGTCACTTATTTGGCTTTTGGTCCGTAACACACACAGTCAGTTCGTATATTGCTGCTCGAAACAGCTTGCGAATCTATCCTGCGCAGTACAGTGAGTGTCACCGTGACGAAGATAGCAGGTGCATACTCGACGGTGCCTGAGCATACGCCGCCTAGTTTACTACATTACTTAAACACGCCCGAAAGTGCTACCTGGGACGTCACCATAATGACCATTGGGCTCTGGCGCATGCGTCTAATCACTAACTAAAAATAAGGGTGGTGCACCATGCCAACGCCTTCTCTATTTTATCAATGCCAGCCAGATGCGCCTGATACAGCTGTTCACCATTATTTCCTCTAGCCCTTTCCTGCTCTCGCCCATCGCCTAGCCTTCGCCCGTTCTTTGCTGTTATGGGGGAGGGAGCCCCCTCATTCAGTACCTCACGACGGAAATCATACGAAGTAATTTTTGTTTAGTTGTGTACAGATCCGTGGAGCGGCGTGTTTCGCATTCCTCGTGTTCACTTGGCGGTGACGCTGACTCTAAAAAATAAGGTGTTTTGAGATAACCCGTCACTGTTCGTGGCGCTATGCGAGCAACCAATGGGGAAGCCTCACTGCAACGCTTCTAAATGCGATGCGCCGGTTATTTTTTGCCCCGCCGTGGTGGTCTAGTGGCTAAGGTACTCGGCTGCTGACTCGCAGGGCGCGGGTTCGAATCCCGGCTGCGGCGGCTGCATTTCCGATGGAGGCGGAAATGTTGTAGGCCCGTGTACTCAGATTTGGGTGCACGTTAAAGAACCCCAGGTGGTCTAAATTTCCGGAGCTCTCCACTACGACGTCTCTCATAATCATATAGTGGTTTTGGGACGTTAAACTACAAACAGAAGAAGAAGAAATGCGATGCGTCGTGATGCGGTGGTGGCGTTGCTTCGAGTCTAAAAAAAATACACGAAGGAACGAATTTGCCAGACGTGCAATATTGTAGTGGGGAACACGTCTATTGCATCTCCTGGGGAAAGCGCGCGCTCGGAAGCACGTGTTGAGCAAGCAGCGCGACCCCTCATGCAGCGTCGCATCCCGACCATTCCTTGAACTAAGGCGGACCAACAGCTCCCGTTCATAAGCGGGCGTTTGCTTTGACATTGAAATAAAGGAGGCTTTACCATGCACTGTACACCCGTGCCAGCCTACAGAGGACGCGTTTTCCGCTGGAAAAGCGTATAGATTGCACATGCGCACCACACGTGTGCACTCCGAGATGCAGTATCCGTTTAGGTGAAATCCCGGCTGCCGCGGAGGGATGGCCATCTTGTCTGTGTACTCGAGCCCGATCTCCAAGATTCCCACGTCGTATGGGCGAAGTTCTCCCGTGTAGTAGATTGTGATGCCCGAACTGTCCACGTAGTCAGGGTGTAACGCCGGGTTGTTGTAGTGAACCTCGAGCATGACGTACGGCGAGTAGTCGCTCCCACCGGCGGAAAGGCCGGCCTCCTCAGGATACGCCAGTGGCTGCGAAGTGGTTGCCGTGGAAGTCAAGCATGGCAAGCATGTATGGTTCATAAAGCTCGCGGTAATCATAAGCGACGGAGGGTCAGATCGCCACCCTCAGTGTTCACCGGCAGACTTTAGCTTGCAAAAAGAGTGTTGCGTGTCCATAGCGCGTGTTCGCGCAAGAGGTGAACTGGCTGGGTGTTTTCAATTCAGCTTTGACTTCGCATACGAAAGGATTTATTGCAGTGGCAGTTGCATTGATACTGACCCTAGTGAGAAAGTGCAGGCTTAAATGGTAGTGCATTCTTTAGTTACATAAGAAAAAAAACAGGAAAAATTCTAGCGTGGTAGGCTACGTTAGAACCGGCTTATTGTCATGGTATAGTAACATTCAACACATACCCAGATAAGCTGTCGGTGCAGCCATGGATGCCATTCACACCTTCTAGCTGCTGCAGAAAACGACCTCTGTCTAGACTGCAGAAGTTTTACGTGACCAGCTGCGGATTTCGCGACGTGGACACGGTCATATTTGCATACGGGTAGCGCTTGCTTACAGTACTAGTCGTTTTGCCTTGCTGCTGCTGTCGTGCGGTGGCTCTTAAGTTTTTCACGAACATCCAAACTACCAAGTAAAAAAACAGTTTAACTTCGTTGTTAGTCGCTGGTTTGGCTTTTAAAACCAACACTCATCAAGTGTGCAAATTCTGGCAACTCTGAATGACCACGTTACTTCTAATTTCAACCAAAAGTTCTTTTTATCACAGAAATTTAGCACAAAAGTCGGACATTGGCCACGCCCGTTCAGTCAACAAGAATTATCGATGTAGCCATTGTTTCAACAAGTACACTTGTGTTCGCCCATTTCTACTAACGTCGGCTCCAGCGACATTCCTGGTTCCACAAGTTTATCACACTCCGAACATTTACATTCCCCTGAACATCGTGCACGTTTCCGTAAATGCCTCAGAATATAAAACAGGCGTTCCTCAAAAGTCATAATTTTTTTTAAGTCTTCGTAGGTGGTTGATATGTTACTGATACTACTTGAGTTGAATAATTGACTTTACAACTTTCGTTTTTCTGACTCTTCAAGTTTCGTATGCATGACAGTATACCTTGTATAAAAAACACTTTTTAATGATCTATGCGGAATGTTCTGCTAATCAGAGTTGTTACTCTTACTTTTGAATACGATCAAGGCACTGTAACGAAATTAAGATCACTAGACTATGGCCTCAATTGCAATATAGAAACGACAACTATAATTTATATGATGCAGTAGGTGTAGCGTACCACTGTGCGTTCACCGCAACCACCAGCGCCATTGTTATCATCTCTCTCTCTCTCTCTCTCACACACACACACACACACACACACACACACACACACACACACACACACACACACACACACACACACACACACACACACACACACCTCGTACTAGATGAGGATTTGGATGATTTAGCATCTCCTAGGTGGCCTTTACATCTGTAAACTTAGTGAAGCTTCGAATCAACTGATCATGAAGACATGTCTTAAAACGGGTAATGGGGTACTTACCGTGAAAGGTGTACTTACCGGAGCCCCCATGGCCCAGGCGGCTATGACCCTTTTACAGCGGTCCAGTGGCTGAGGCCTCTTGGGGCTGTTGCAAGGCCCGTTCCACGAGGGCAATACCTCGTCAACCGGTGCCTCGCAGTGGAACAGCTCCATGTGGTGGACCAGCGCCTCGCTTCCCTTTTGAATGTTGGCTTCGTACTGTTGTAGCGGATGCGTGAACGAAAAATAAAGAAGAGCCCATCTGTATCTATATATTGCCACGGGAAATGCTAGTAATGAAGGTGTCGCTGAAAGCTCTTTCATGTTGAAATAACTTATCATGATGTTCTATGGGGCTGTATGGTGATCAACCTGCCTGGCAATCTTCATACCGTATCTCTCTCTCGTTATCTCTAGCGGGGTTGCTGTTTGTGGCTACATCACCACGAATTGACACCATTACGATGCCATCTGGCCTGTTTGGCAGTGGAAATTTCAACTTGGCTCCATTACTCTTTTTGGTGACATTGAACTTTCATTGTGTTATATTTAGTAGCTAACTTTATTACAATATCAATTATACGGATACTCTCAACTGGATTTTGCAGCTAGCGTCGACGTCGCCATCACTCACCGTATAAGTATACGCATCTATATACAAGAAAACGCAAGAAAAAAAATCCAGAAAAAGACCCCGGTGCGCGGAATTGAACGCGGGACTTCTGAATGGTGAGTGCGACGCGTTAGCCACAGAGTCACGAAGGAGCATCTCCTTCGACGTTCAAACGGCAACCTATTTGTATCTACCATTCACCACTGGTGACGAGCATCTCTGGGGGGAACTATCATGTTTTCAGCATTACCAGCAAGATGGCACAATGAGCACGTGTCGCCACATCGTCACGACGCGGCGGCGCATGCTCTCATCTCCAACGCGTACTTTGCTCTGCGGAGAGAAGGCAAGGTGGACAACATGGAGGAAGGAAACAACCGAGGAGAGGCCCTGACTTTACTCGTTGTGAAGCCGTGGTGAAGCCGGAAGTCGGCTATATTGACTGGGCAAATTCTTCTGTCTTGTTTACATCCGAATGTGAAGCAGAATGCGCGACTCTCTCTCCGCCTTAAACAGCACGTGGGCTGCGTGGCGCGCGTGTCGTGGCGATCTGAAATTAATGCAACCGGGCTTAAGACACGCTAGGCCAGACCATTGACGTTAGCGAAATCATTTGTCTGAGTATTAACAACGAGTAACAGCTCGCCTACAGCGACGCCAGAGCAAGAGAATGCGAACCACGCACGCTAGATGCCGAGTGTTTTGACGTCGTTAATTCACGCACTGTACAGTCAACACGGTCGGCCGGACGCTGCCTTTTACGTTGCATTCCGTCTCGCGCAGCCGACGTGGCGCCCGGTCACCGTGCCAGTCTTTCATGTAAAACTCACCGGCGTCAGCCTCGTGCAAGCATGCACAGTGACCTTGTGCACGGTAAAATGACACTCGAACGCAGTTGCTCTAATGCCGAAGGGGTGAGCATAGCAAGCGAAAGAAAAGGTGTTCTAACGCGCATGCACTTGCAAGCTGTTTCTGTACACATGTCGAACAGGAAACTACATACGTGCACATGATGTTCTCAGCACAATCTCCCAGTCTTGAATGACCAGGCCGGGGTGTATGCGGAGCCGGTTCTAATGCGGTACAACAGCGTCGCTTCTTCACGAGAAAGACCATGAATTACACATGCTTGGTGTGAAAACCTGTAGATCGCCTTGAAATGATTGCGTATCACATCTTTGTTGTTCTGGTAAGTCTTGGGAGTTCTTACTTTTGGAAACGTTGTCCGTTCTGTGCCTTCTGTGGTGACATCGGGGATATTGAACATTTCATTTGGCTTTGCCCACAGTTTGATGCGCAAAGAGCAGCGATGATCCGCACCTTGCGAAAAGGCTGTCATAGGCACCGGACAGTTGATGACATCATCTTTCCTGAAGGACCCGCGGCAACTAGGAGGAACGTGCAACGAACTTTGTTGGTCTTCCTGCGAGACACTGGACTGTCTGACACGTGGTGACATTTTCCAAATTAAGGAGATGCTCAGGCGGAACAATTGCCGGCCATGCAGGCCAGGCTAACCCCGCCTGCTGCAACACCACCACCACCACCACCATTCTCAGCACAAATGTCTCGTCCGTTTCCACAAGCAGAAACACTGCACAACTTTCAATGACCGGCAAGGAGTTCTTTGTGGTTCCGTTTCGTCATGTTTCCCGAACGCAATTTCACTGAGCACTCCGATTACTTCATCCGACGCATGGCACATTATTATATGCGCTCGTTCTATGCACTGTTGAGGCCCCGTGGCAAACAACAGGTTTTGTAAACGTTGCTGCTCGCACAATAACCGTAGGGAGAGCACTACGAAGCCAACAATGCGGCAGAAAGCTCAGATATTCTGTGCCGCACGTCAGTACGAGAGCTACGGATCCGCACATGCCGTCACGGCCACCACCATGCCAACGCCATTCTCTACTAGACCAACGACACTGCACAACACGTAACCATAGCAATGCCCTCATTGGGTTCTGTAGATATGGCTACCATTACGTCTTTTGCTCTACACTTTTCACGTAATGCGCCGGCTGGGCATGCCATTTCCTCTCATTCCTTCCTCTCTGGTGGACGCTCACGCGTGCGCTAATCTCGCAGTGGGGACAATCGTACGTCTTGGCTGGCCTTCGGCTTTCACCGGAATAATTATGTTGTAGCTACGAGCGCACAAAGATCACTGCAATCATTGCACAGTCTCCGTTTGCGAAAAGGGCGCGTTTTTCAGACACAGTGAAGTAAAGACTGAGACATTTATTCGCGTTCATCTGTACCTGTCAGCACGTTTCGTGCGTCATTTGTGCGTGACAAACCTGGGGGCACGTTTCGATCTGCTTGCCATGAGAGGAAAGGGCTGGGCATGCCCTTTCCTCTCATTCCTTCCTCTCTGGTGGACGCTCACGCGTGTGCTAATCTCGCGGGGGGGGGGGGGGTCAATCGTACGTCTTGGCTGGCGTTTGGCTTTCACCAGAGTAAATCTGTTGTAGCTACGAGCGCACAAAGGTCACTGCAATCGTTGCACAGTCTCCGTTTGCGAAAAGGACGCGTTTTTCAGACACAGCGAAGTAATGAATGAGACACTTATTCGCGTTCATCTGTACCTGTCAGCACGTTTCGTGCGTCATCTGTGCGTGACAAACCTGGGGGCACGTTTCGATCTGCTTGCCACTCTGCACGTGACCTTCCAATTTGTTGCTATCCCGTTTATAGCTTCGTCTTTGCGGCAGAGCTGTGACTTTTTATCTTATAATGTACACACAAGGATCAAGTTTACAGACCACCCAAATTTTCGAAGTTTTTCTGTGGTGTCAGCCGATGCATGTGCTTGTAGAAAAGTAGGATAACTGATCAAGTGGCATATTTCTTTGTCCCACACAACTTAATCAGCACACTATAGGTGTCTGTTATCTTTATTAAGTTGTGACAGTTAAGATTTAGTGTTACCCTAACTGTAACCTAATGTAATTCAAGTTCTGACTATTCACTTCGTTACAGAGATGAATATTGTAGTCAGCATCACAATGTAACAACGCGTTCCAAAGTTTCGAAGAGACGGAAGAAAAATAGAGAAAACGAAGCTGAGAAACAGCTAAGCCGCTCTATCTTAGAGACCTAACACGGCCTTCTTGGCTGATGTTGCATCTTTTCCTGGCCTAAAAAGAGTAGAGCGTAACCGCAGGCTGTCGCAGATATCACATGAATGTCCAAAATCAAGCGCCAGAAATAATCGTGCAAACCTGCCTGTGGCCTCTTCGGTAGGAGCCTGGGCCTTTCATCGCTCGTACTCAGCTCGCGCCCCGCCGGACAAACTCGGTGTGGCGGCATGCGCGGGCTGTTTATGTCAGTGGGCATGGCTTGGCGTCGTCTGCTCCTCGGCTCATGCGCGACTAACCGATCAGCGAGGTTTCGCACTAGTAGTGTAACAATTGAAGGAACAACGGAGCTGGTGGCCTTGCTTGTTTTGTTCTATTTCTCTCTCTTTCTTCCCGTCTTTCTTCCTTTCTTCCTTTCTCTCTATTGTACTAAACCACTTAATTGTCTCCGCTTCTTTGATTTCGTCATTTTTCTTTCACTGTCCATTTCTCACCTTTTCTGTCTTTTTTGCAACTTTTGCCTCTCTTTTTTCTCTCTATTTCTTACTCTTGCTTTCTATCTTTTTCTCTCTTCCTCTGTTTTTTATATCTTTGCAGTGTCGATCTCTTTCTTTTTCTCTGTGGTGCTCTTTCTCTCTTTTTATTCCCCCTCTTCTCCCCATTTTCTATCTCTCGTTCTGTCTGTCTTCCCCCCTCTCTGTGTACTCAGTCACTCGTCCGTCCGAGTTATTGTATCCCACGCCGGACAAATGAGCGCAGTGGGAGAAAGCACGCCTACAGCACATGGTCGGAAAGCGAAGCAGGAGAAGGACGGCTAAGAGTTATTGCTGAGTTATTGCGTTGCGTGTGCTTCGTTAGGAGCCATTCATGACAATGATAGTTTTACGAACGCTTAACGGCGTAAAGAATAGCATAGCAGCACAGCTGCAAAAAATCGATGTTATTCATCTGCCATAAAGAAAGGACAACTTTCAGGAGAGGATACTTAGAATAAATACTGGATATTTACTTTCCGAAACAAAGATATAATTATGAGGCATACCGGAGAGAAAATATAACTATTACCAGGAATTCCTAACATAACTATTACCTGGAATTCCTTAACACCCTAAGCCTAAGCACACAAGCGCTGAGGCATTTTACTTTCGCCGAAGTGAATCTGTCACCACAGGAATTGACCTTGCGACCTTTAACTCCACGAATAGGAACATACGATATTAAAGAAACAGGCATCTTACCCTCACGATGTGCTTCTTATAGCTGAAGTCACTTGGAAGCTTGAGGAGCCGGCACCAGTACGTCGTTTCTTGGTCTGGAACTTTTACCTACAATGGCAAAGGAGCTACTTTAGCCAAACAGAGTGATATTCATCAGTTGGGTATCAAAAATTCTGACCACAATTTGAATAGCCCGTAGTACAAGAAGCTGTCTGGATGTTGATCCTGTAGAGGAAAAGATGAACCGCTGTCCCTATGATTTTTTTTACCTCACATTTCATCTTTAGGATTTTCTTAATCTTTGAGTAGCGGGAAGTTAGCAGATTGAAGCACACACTTATCTAAATGTTAAGCTCTGCACAAATATATGTCGATAAGAGAACTCAGCGAAAAGCAGTGCATACTATTTAGTGTCATGTTTAGAATCACTAATGCGTCTGGCAAAATACAATAACGCACGAAATATCATACGAGTCAATAAGTTTAATTGTATGCAACTTAAAATAAAAAATCGTTAAAAAGGTTAGCATAGAACTCTGAAGCTCTATAATTAAAAACGTAGTATAAAGTTTACAACCTTCATTTTTCATCACAGCACGCTTGCAAAAAAGCAAAACAAATTTATTTTGATTGTGCTTCAAGATACTCCAAGCACCACCACTACTTTCATGCGAGCGAACTTGAAACGAACTACCGAAATTGGCAGAAAACTTCATAATAAAGAATAATTCTACTTGTTCGCATCCTAGTTAAGTCATAGCTGTGGCTCTATAGTGGCGTTCCGCAGGGGGTAGTGACGTACCACCAGAATCAAGGAGTACAAGGAATAAAATGGGGACATGGAAGGCCTTGAGATCTCATGACGCTGCTGAAATCACCTAATGTGGCCTATCTTGCTATCATAATATATTCTATAGCAGGTACACAAGCCTTTACATGCTCTAAGCAGGTCCAATATGGCAAAAACAGCGGCGCCACGAGGCCTCATGTTAAGCAACGGCGATAGTGGACATTAAAAAAAATTTCACGCAATATTGTGGCTGTATGTGTCTATGAGTGCCTTGAGTTTATCTGGCACAAGTAAATAGCGCGTAAGATAATTCTAAGCGAGGATCAATGCTCTTAGTCTCCGTCTATTACTTCCGCTAAAATATCGTTCATGACCACATTTGCAATGACAACACGACACGCAGTCACAGCGACATGCATATGCAAAGAAGCCGCAAGCAAAGCATAGGGGTACTTTTGGTCCCGGCTCAAACGGCCAGAATGAATTCCCCTCACATAAAAAAAAAGAAAACCAACACAACAAAACACTATTGATGCAAACTACATGGCGAACAGGGCAGACGACAGTACAGGTTATAAGTATACAAACAGGACAGATGCACCTGCATAGTCGATGTCTCGCCATGCTGAACGTACTATAGCCCAGTTTAGAAATCATAAATATGAGACTATAACTAGTGTGAGTGCTGTGACTTTTAAAAAGAAAAATAAACGAACTAAGCTCTATTGTTGAACTAAAGCGTGCTCAAAACATGAACAAGCAGCAACTAACCCAGAACGGTACATAGTTCATCACTGACCGTCTCATGATTGTGGTGCGAACTCATAAGGCGAATAGTTTAGAGAGAGGGAACTCGGCGAAGTTCACTGAATCATGGAAGCTGCTTCTTCGAAGCAGGGATTCATAGTTGGCCCTTCACTGTTGCTGTTTCTAATAAGTAGTGAATGTTCATTAGATGCGTCGCTGCTAGGTAAGCACGGCTTTTGGCGAATACACAGTGAATCATAAAGTGGCATGATTGAAGGGTAACCATAGGTGATCGGTCTTGCACACTGCAACACTTGGGTAGTCATAAGTAAGGTTATTCAAATTTTGTTGTTGTTTCATGCTGCTTAACTATGACAAAACTAGGATATTAAATCGTTTAATCCTTATGCATAACCCCGGAATGGTACTTATAATACCTTGTGCAAGCCATTCAGGTAGTTACTGTAGTATTGGCTAATTAAAGGAACTTGCATATCGACGAGTTAAGTTGGACCATTGTTTCAAAAGGAATACGTGTGTCCTCCTTTCCGCATCCCCCTCCCCCCTTAAAAATGTTGGTTTGTGCGAAAAGCGGTTCTAAAAGGACCCAAGGTGCTCATGAGAGGACCCGCTGGCTTCTGTTATACATTGGTTGCTATGTACGAATCAAGGTTAATATTACTCCAGCTAGTTAGTTGTTCCGTCCTGGGAAAAAAATTGAGGACACAAGTTATAATAATGAAAATGGCGTCTTATCGGCAGCGTCCTCTCGTTAAGGAAGTTACAAATTATTTAACTCCTTGTCATACATGAGTAATATTATAGCATTATGATGTAAATACGCTTTCCAAACATTCTTGAGACACTTAGTGAGGAGCGGTTTGTTTCCTATTAGACACAACTAATGAAACCAACAACCATTGAAGTTGAGGAATGTCGTGTATATAGCGAAGTACGAATCCCAACATAAAAAAAAAAACGTAAGAGTCATTTATTCGATTAGCAGTAGCAGCGGGCAAGCCTGCTGACGCTACGTTCACCTGGGTAGCAAAGCGTAGCAAAGCAATAATACACTTCCAAGCTTGGCAGCCTAATCATGGCCTGGTTGCGTAGCCACCGCCGGTGGCGTATCGAGTGATGCTTCGGTGGCACTGTGGCTTATCGGAACATGGAACAGCGTGTAGCCATAGTGCAGCCGTGTCAGGCCGGGCTGAATGAGCGTGAGGTAGAGGGCACGCGGCATTATCCGCTGAGTGTGCCACCACAAGGCCAAGGAAGGCATAAGAGGCATTATTTGCTGTTTTGGTAACTGCTGTATAATTCAACCCAAATTGAAAGGACGAAAAAGCACTCTTTGCGCCGGTGTATACCCATCAACCACAACATTCTATTTACGCATCCCATGACATGCCAATTCAGCTAGAACCATGAAGCGAGGAATACTTTACAGCAGAGGCGTTTTGTAGTCCCCCTTCGTAGTGCGTATTAAGAGCGTTGCATCCCTGGTAACGTTAGCCCCAGGGGAAAAAAGTGTGTTCCACACTCGCTGCCTTGGCTACGAGTGGTGCTGGCCAACATTTGCAGGGATTAAATGCACTTAAATACCCAATAAAGTGGACCGGGCGCCCTTTGTCGCTCAATAGGTAGAGCATAGGATTCCTTCGACGGAAAGACTGATTTTGCGTTTGTTTCCATTCCTTTCAATTTAGGTCGAAATCATTCCACTGAGTTTACAGAAACAAAAATGTGTCCTCTATGCTTTCGTTGGCTTAATTGGTTGTTGGTTGGTGACGGGCGTGTTTTGCAGCAAATATATATATATTACAACCAGCTTCGTGCACGTTAAGACACGACGAATGTTGGGTGTTTTACGACGCCAGCGACAAACGACGTAAGAGGTTAACCTATCATGACCCTAAAAGAGAACGAAAGTCGGAAACAAACACTTTTTGAGAAGGCATAATAATGTTTCTAGTTATGAGGGATAAATAGAATATTTACTGGTAAGTTGAGTAAAGAAAAATTTACCCATAAAAAGTTAAAACCTAATTAACAGCACCACTCACACCCTATAAAGGCAAAGAAAAAGGCCTTTATGCGCTTTATAAGTGGGCATACGAAAGTGACGTTTGGCAGGTACGTGGTACCCAATTGTTGAGCTAGGAAGGAGTGTACTTCCACATGTAAATCCTAATTGGGATTACTTAAGTCTCTTTAGACCATAAAATGCCTATAGCTTTTCTCCAAATGGAGCTGAGGAAGTGGGGGTGGGGTTCGCCTGTCCTATCTACTCATCTTCACCGTTTCTATCGGCATTACCTTTATTCACGTTTATACTGGTGTCTAATCACACGTATTCCAAAGCACTGTCGTTCATACATCATTTCAACTTGTAATGATCAGAGGCGCGAATCACGTAGGAGAGTACTTTGATTCTCCCCCATCCCCCAACCTTTCCGGGGAATTTCTTTGTGCATATATTTACCTTGTCAGCTCTTTCAAATGACCTTACTGGTTTGCAAGCACTCATAACTCGTATTCGAAGGTACTAGTATATTAAAAGGCGCCACAAAGAGCATCGATCACGTGAGATATCGGAGTTCAAGGGCATTGACACCGTGGTCGAAAAAGCTAATTATAGGCTAACGGACTCATGAGTTGACTCACTCGGACTGAGACTGAGATAGAGCCATGAGCCTGAGTGAGTGCGCGTGAGTAGTGTTTTGGTGAGTTTGAGTCAGAGTGAGTCCGATTGAAGAAAGTTTTCTGGAGTGTGAATCCAAGTGAGTCCGGCTCAAAAAAAAAAAAGAAAAAAAAACTTTTGGTTTGTCTGAGCCGAGTGAGCCTAAGCGCAAAATATATTTCATCAGTGGGTCTGAGTGAGCTCCGCAAGTTTTGCAACTTATGCCTGTGGATGCATGTACAGCGGTAGACTACAGTAGTCTACTGTACCCTTCGTCGCAGTTAAGGGTAAGGGAAACGGTGATGCTACTCGCTGCGCCGGTATGCGCGGCCTCCTGCGCTCTAGTGGCTCGAATCGCGTGCTCCCGCTCGCTGGAGTCAGTTGCACTTGCGTACGCTCCGTTGCGCTTACGTCATGCACGCGTCAGGTGCAAAACATGGTCTTCGCGCTGTGTTTCTGTTACGGAGCTCGCATAACCACGTCGAATCCTTTCCCGCCTCTCTCCATTTTTTCAGCACTCGCGTGCGCCGACACATTCGTACACGTCGGCACTCTCCTGGCCGGACTCCGTAAGGGCATGCCGTGTGCGTGCTTGCGCTGGCTCCGTTTCAGTACGACAGAGGTGGACGATTGTCAACCACCAGTTTCTAGCAAATCTGACTGTATGCGTTCACACAGTTCATAGGTTCACATGAAGTGCCCGCAAAGTTTATAGAAACTGCTAATTCTGCACAGAGTTGCCATCAAAGGAAGCTAACCCAGCTAGCTAACTTATGTCCCTTGAGCGCTGCTGAGGACGCCAAACTTTTTAAATGTCTTTAACCAGTACTGTACAAATCAGCTATAGCTATAGTCGACATTATCAAGAGTCTCTCATTGGTGCACTCCAACTACAGAAAAACAAAGGGATGCAAGAAATTTTCCCCATTGATGCTGAAGAAGTAACGCACTGGTGTATTTCTGGGCGGGAAATGCAGTGTGCCTCATGCTAATATTTTATGGAATACTAATCGCAACTATTACACGAACAAGCTTACATCATCGGGCGTAACTGTTCTGAAATGACACTATTTGATATCTGTTTAGCGTTCGTAGAATGCATGGCTCATAGATCATGTGATTGCGACGCTATTAAAAAGCAGTGCTCCTCTCTACGATTTCGTATGCAATCAGTGACTATTGGAATTAAGTATCAAACGAAAAGAGAAGTAACCGTAAAACTCCATGCGCGGTTACCTTGTCATTGAGGAAATTCGCAAACTTGGTGTCGGATGGAAATGGCGGCGGGTCTTCCATGACTTTCAGGAGCTGGGCCCTCTGAAAGCCGTGCTGCGTTCGAGTGAGCCGCAGACCCTCCAGGCGACGCAGCGGTCCTTTGCCCGTCGCATAGACCAGGTGCACTGTGCCATCCTGCGCCACAGTGCGTAAATGTGAAGAAACCAGTGAAGGGCTAACCATGCAGATAACCAATGGGGTTCACGATTCAAGCGACAAATGTTCAAGAAGAAATATTCTGGAGACACTTGAGGAATGGTCTGCCACCGCTATGAATGCCTCTTTCCGATGGACCAATGGGTCTATGTGATTTGGGATATGGCGCATTTGAAAATGAAATGTGCATTCATAAACCGTACTGAAATGTTCCACAGGCGCTGCAATATTTCCAAATGTATTGTGAGTGACTAAGTAGAAAAATTGACCGATATTTATATTAGAATGATGTAGAATCTGTATCAAGGCACGTGGAGTATACATGTCGAATTCTGGGACATAGAACTTAATAGGAAGAGGTAGAGAGGTCGGCCTGATCTGGTGCGCTCTCGCCTGCTACCTCACACACGGGAAAAACAAAGAGTGAAAAAGAGTGATGAAGTATCATAATGGGGGATGAAGTATCATAATGGGGAAAGGGAGAAAAGTTGCGTATAGAATGCCCCACTTGCTTTGTTTCTATTTTCCCGTTACCACCCAACTATAATGTTACTGTTGCCTTGAACAAAGCGTGCCTTAATGACAGGGAACTATCTAGATAATCTTAGAACCTTCCGATAAGATGATCTGCACAACGCGAACCTTGAATTTATAAAACTTACACAGCTGATGGTTATAACGCTGGAATCTTCGATTATGCATGTATAGGCCTCCCAACCTCGGCCAGGCGGCGCTGGAGCGAGCGCGTTTGGCCACTTTGCCGTTGAGAAACATATTATCTTGAAGTGCGCCCGCTCGAACATTTACGTGGCCGAGCAAGGATGAGTACGACCAACCACTGGATGGCGTACCCATGCTCGCTTCTACTCGTTAGTCAACCCATGTAATAGCTGCCTCCGAAGGGCCATGAAGACCCAAGTTTGGCACCAAACTTTTTTCTAAGAAAAAAGCTCGTTTTCAAAGCGGCAGCTCTATAGCACCCGCAGCTCAGGCATGTGCAAGGATGAACAATTTTACGTGTCAAAATCATGACATAATTAGAAGGCATGCCGTGGTGTGACACACGAGATCTTTTCCGGCCACCCGAATTTTTCGAAAGTGCACCTCAATCAATTTGAAGTGCAAGGGGCGAAGATGATAACGGACAGAGTGTGCGCACACACCCAGTGCCAGTTCTGTTTACATTGAGTGTCATTCCGCCTGCCTCAAATATGCCTAACTAGCACGCCCTATCTATTATTATTACACCTAAATTAATAGCGGGATGAAATCCCGGCTGCGGCGGCTGCGGTGGCTGCATTTTCGATGGAGGCGAAATTGATGTAGGCCCGTGTGCTCAGATTTGGGTGCACGGTAAATAACCCCAGGTGGTCGAAATTTCTGGAGCCCTCCACCACGGCGTCTCTCATAATCATATGCTGGTTTTGGGACGTTAAACCCCACATATCAGTCAATTACAACTAAATCCAAGCCCACTCAGGTTACTACATTTCACTGCCATGGAAATGCAGCTGACGTATGCGGGAACTGAACTCACGACTTCAATCTTGACATCGCAACACCTTAGCCTACTATGCTTGCAAAATCTGTGCTCAGAAAACACATGTAGGGCTCGCGGTACGATATTTTAACTGTGGTGCATTAAGATAAGCTCAACCACTCAGTTTGTACAGCGGTTGCCTATTTATTGCGCACTGTCTTTGCATATGAGTCTGGCCATCGCGTTTCACCCAGTTAATACTGCGCATGACAAAACATTCTTCAAAATGACAAGACCAGTGGAGTACTGGCCAACTGCCATAATCCACTCTTGTCGCCTTTGCTTCTCGCACTGCTTGCGTTGAAAAACGGTAGAACTTGACGGGCAGTTTTCAGGTCTTTGTCACATTTAAACTTTTGTAGCAACTCGCAATGCACCAAGAGTGCGTGCCTGCTTTTCAGGATGATAAAGAAGCGGCACCCATTGCGTGCAAAATGGGAAATAAAAGCCCCAAGGAATACGTTATCTGTGCGTGCAATTGGGAAAACCAAGCAAGCGTGGCCGATTCGAGTGACCGGAGCTTTGCCCTCTGTCCGCTAAGGCGGCGAACTGCGTTGTGTTTCCGCCACCTGTCGGCTGTCGTGTGCATACCGCCACGTTAGGGGCTCGGCGCAGCGCAGTACGCTCAGTCCGCGTAGGTTTACGTACACGTATATGTAAGGCGTATCAACGTGGGGCGTGTATTGGCTGATAATCGCAATGCCGATGTATTGCTGCGTCCCTTGCTGCACAAGGAGAACAGGAAAGGCTGAATGAAAAAAAAGGGCAGATCCCACGTACAGTAGGAATCGATGATATGCGAAGAACGAATGAGGTAGGTTTTGTAGCTTTATTATCAGCAAAATGTCACTAGGCGGACATAATTTATGCCGTACATGATGTCCATGTTATGATTATCAGGTTTGAGCCTGGCAGTTGTGTTCGTCGTCCATTCATGCAACGTAATACCAAATTTGGTATATGTGAAGCTAGCCAAACGGCCAGAAGCGTACTATGAGCGTATCATCTAGTCAAGTTTTACATGACACGCATGTTACGATTATCATCTTTGGACGTGTCATTTACCTTCGCTATCCAGTCACGTCACGTAATACCAAAATCGGTATATGGGAGGATAGCAAAACAGCCGCGAGCGCATCATGAGCGTGGCCTGTAGTCATGTTCTTTCTTAAATCACACACATATCATGATTATCATGTTTGCACCAGTCATGTTCCTTCACCATTCATTAACGTCACGTAACACCAAATTTTGTATAGGTGAAGCTAGTGGAACTGCCGCAAGCGCATCATGAGCATCAGATGTTGTCATGTTCTTACATGACAGACATATCATGATTATCATGTTTGCACCAGTCATATACCTTCGTCATCCATTCACGTGAGGTAACACAAAATTTGGTATAAGTGAAGCTAGCGAAACGGCCACAAGCGCATCATGAGCATAGCATATAGTCATGTTCTTACATGACACACAAAACATGGTTATCATGTTTGCATCAGTCATATATCGTCGTCATCCATTCACGTCACGTAACACAAAATTTGATGTATGTGAAGCTAGCGAAACGGCCGAGAGCGCATCATGAGCATGACATGTAGTTATGTTCTTACATGACACACTTATCATGAGTATCATGTTCGCACCAGCCATAGACCTTCGTCATCCATTGACGTCACGTAACACAAAATTTGGTATAAGTGTAGCTAGCGAAACGGCCGAGAGCGCATCATGACCATGGCATGTAATCATGTACTTATATGACACACATATCATGATTATCATGTTCGCACCAGTCATATACTGTCGTCATCCATTGACGTCACGTAACACATAATTTGGCATAAGTTTAGCAAGCGAAACGGCCGAGGGCGCATCATGAGCATAGCATGTAGTCATGTTCTTTCATAACACACATATCATGATTATCATGTTTGCTCCAGTCATATATCTTCATCATCTATTCACGTCACGTAACACAATATTCGGTATAAGTGAAGCTAGTGAAACGGCCGAGAGCACATCATGAGCATGGGGATGTAGTCATGCTCTTGCATGACACGCATATCATGCACCAGTCATATACCTTCGTCATCCATTCACGTCATGTAACATCGAATTTATTATATGTGAAGGTAGCGAAACGGCCGAGAGCGCATCATGAGCAAGGCACGTGGTCATGCTCTTGCATGACATGCATGTCATGATTATCATGTTTGCACCAATCATGTATCTTCGTCATCCATTCGCGTCAGGTACCACCAATTTTGGTATAAGTGAATCTAGCTAAACGGCCGCAAGCGCATCATGAGCATAGCATCTAGTCATGTTCTTACGTGAGACACATATCATGGTTATCATGTTTGCACAAGTCATATACCTTCCTCATCCATTGTTACGCCTGGGAATCCACACTGAACGTCAATGCCTCTGCAAAGGCAATCTGTGTGAAGGCCAGCGATCAAACCCGCCTGACGCGATCAACTGAACGACGTCATCAAGTGGTGGCACCGGCATGTCATGCAACGCACAGCGAGCTCCCTCAGCCCACGAGCCCGTTGAAGCGATCGGCGCCTTCCAGTCTGGCGAGTCTTATGCAATGCGTGGCAACGTCACTCGTCCTTGGGCGCAACCATGCGCAGCGGCTCCGGATTTGATGAGCATAGAAATGCTGAATGAAAAAAAAAAGCAGATCCCACGTACAGTGGGAATCAATGATATGCGAAGCACGAATGAGGAAGGTTTTGTCTCTTTATTATCAGCACAACGTCACGAGACGGACATAATTTATGCCGTACATGATTTCCATGTCATGATTATCAGGTTTGAGCCTGACAGTTGTGTTCGTCGTCCATTCATGTCACGTAATACCAAATTTGGTATATGTGAAGCTAGCCAAACGGCCAGAAGAGCACTATGAGCGTATCATCTAGTCAAGTTATACATGACACGCATGTTATGATTATCATCTTTGGACGTGTCATTTACCTTCGTCATCCATTCACGTCACGTAATACCAAAATCGGTATATGGGAGGCTAGCCAAACAGCCGCGAGCGCATCATGAGCGTGGCCTGTAGTCATGTTCTTTCTTACATTACACACGTCATGATTATCATGTTTGCACCAGTCATGTTTCTTCACCATTCATTCACGTCACGTAACACCAAACTTTGTATAGGTGAAGCTAGTGGAACAGCCGCAAGCCCATCATGAGCATTACATGTAGTCATGTTCTTACATGACAGACATATCATGATTATCATTGTAGCACTAGTCATGATTGATTGATATGTGGGGTTTAACGTCCCAAAACCACTATATGATTATGAGAGACGCCGTAGTGGGGGGCTCCGGAAATTTAGACCACCTGGGGTTCTTTAACGTGCACCCAAATCTGAGCACACGGGCCTACAACATTTCCGCCTCCATCGGAAATG